CAAACACTTTTTCCATTATGTATTTTGGAATCATTAATATAAAATAGAATCCAGTTCTGCAGCTGCTTGCATGTCAGAGCAACTTCAGGATGGTGCCAATACAAAGAATCCAATGGGTTAAATTTTAAGGTCTTCGATCAGTTTGTATTCAACCCTCACTTACACAAGCTCTAGTTGTCTTCAGTAAGATTTTGCCACATTAAGAATTAATTAAAACTCAGAGTTCATCCCATTGTACATTACACCCTTGTAAAGAGCAGCCAGAGACTAGAGCAGAGGAAAAGTGGCAACAAAATACAAAGAAGACAAGAGGAGGAGAAACATGGTGGGGAAAAGGAGCAACATCAAAATGAGGTGGACAGAGGGAATGTGGGAGAAAGGGAAGAAAGAGAACTGGGGAAAGCCTGGTGTGCAGAGAAAATCATCAGTAATTTAGATAATGGCATAGGGAGTACAGTTTGTGGACGATACCAAGCTGGGAGGCATTGCAAATGCTTTAGAGGATAGGATTATAATTCAAAATGATCTGGAGAAACTGGAGAAATGGTCTGAAGTAAATAGGATGAAATTCAATAAGGACACATGCAAAGTACTCCACTTTGGAAGGAACGATCAGTTGCACACGTTGTGATGGGGGCCCTGTGCTGAGCTAGGGTGCCCCCACTGGCTCAGTATGGGGTTGATTCACCCCGTCGTTGGGATCCCCCCGTTAAGTGGGTGATTTTGGCCAAGTGGGTCCCAGCCCCCTGATGGGTTCACTTTGGCAAATAATCCATAGTCTCTGGGTGAGCAAAACAATCAAACAGTCTGGAGCCTCTGAGCTTGGGCAAAATGAACAACCAGTCTAGAGCCCTACAGCCTTCTGGCTGGGGCAGGCAGCAGCACTTGGGGAGGGGAATTAGCCCCCTGGGAAGGGCAAAGCAGTAAGCAAACTGCAGCCCCTGGATGGGGCAAAGCAAACAAACAGTCTATGGCAGTGCAGCCTCCAGGTTAGAGCAGGCAGTTACACTGTGGTGGATTGAGGTAGCAGAAATGGAAGGGGTACACAAATGGTTGTGGGAAATGATTGGAGGCATGGACAGGCTTCCAAATGAAAAGAGAAACTGAAAAGATAAGGCACAGTTACTTTACAGAGAAGCATAATAGAGAAGCATTTACTGAATAGTAAATGCTATAGAGAAAGTAAATACTAAAGAGCTCCTGTTGCCATTTCACATAATACTTAATACACTACAAGAAAAACGGGACAATCAATGAAACTGTCAGGCAATAAATTTGGAAAAGAACTGCCTTTTTACACCAAGCTAAATTAGCTCTGAAACTGTCTGCTTTCATTGAGGAAAAGAGATTAGAAGGGTTAAAAAAAAGGTTAGTTATAAATGTGAATAATAAGTATATCCTGCATTACCTTAGCTCAGATAAAAATGTATGAAGGACATCATGCTGCCTCCGTCAAGGCAAAAGAACACCACTAACTGATGACCGTTAACAAGAAACTTTCCCTATGGGCTAGTTACTCCATTAATGGTGTTTCCTGTGATGCATCTGCCATTGTCCACTGTCAGAGACAGGATACTGGAATCAGCAAATCTGATCTAGTATGGGAATTCCTGTGTTCCTAGCCAAGGTGTTGTGGATTCATCTTTGGCTTTTACTGATCCTTTCCAAGCAACTCTTCTTCCAGTGAAGGCCCAGGACGGAACTAGCCACTTCAATAGCAGTCCCTGCTTGAATTGCTGTCAAAGGCGTTTCTGAATGTTGATCCCTAATACATATTTTTCTAACTAGCTTAGAGTTTTGTACTGCTGTCCATTATCTTAGTAGCTGAGCCTCCTCCATGTTAAATTGGCAATAATGAATGAATAGTGGATTTCTTGAAGTCTGGGCTCTTCTTCTTTTCCAGGAGAACAGGTGGGAATATGGAATTTCCATTCCATGGCACATTCTATCCATTTGAAATTTGTTTTCATTCCTAAGGGTACGTCTGTACCCAGCCGCTAGTTCGGCAGCTGGCAATCGAACTTCTGGGTTCGACTTATCGCGTCTTGTCTGGACGCGATAAGTCGAACCCGGATGTGCTCGCCGTCGACTGCGGTACTCCAGCTCGGCGAGAGGAGTACCGCGGAGTCGACGGGGGAGCCTGCCTGCCGCGTGTGGACCGAGGTAAGTTCGAACTAAGGTACTTTCCACAGAATGGAGATTCCCCCAAATTGTGAAATTGAACCATTTCATTTTGATAATGGTGAATTGTTTCATTTTGATCATGTCAAAAACGTATAAAATAAAATATTAAGTATATTTATAAACATACTTGAATTAATATGTTAAGATAATATACACGTCAAAACTAAATCAATCAAAACATTAAAGTCAAAACAAAATGTCTAAACTAACCATTTTGACATTACTGAACAAGAATGTTGAAATGTTTCATTTAGATATTTTTTCCATCAAGTTTATTTTCAAGAAGCTCTGGTTTCTAGGTTATAGGAAACTCTGCTTGAGGTAGATATATATATATATTTTTTTAAAGGGAACTCTTGATGTCGTGCCTGTTCCTGTCACTTGGGTGGAAAAGCTTTCTCAAATAAAAAGGGGTTGCAGTGCTTTCCTTTAGCAGTTTGTTCCATACCTGGAATCCCCTCAATTGAGGGCACGAGCTCAGCTCTCTAGAATGTTCTGTTCAGTTATTATTTTGGCATGCTGCAAACATTTTGCTGAAGAAGGCAACTGCCTATTTTTAACAGTTTCTATCTTGGCTAAACCCAAATGGAATTTTATATGAGAAAACAAACAAACCAATAAATCGATAAACAAACAAGAAGACACTTCTCTACCCCAAGGGCTTTCTTTCTGCTGACAATCAAAGCCTTGCTGTTAAAAGAGGTGCAAGAGAATCTCCAGAAAAGGTCACAATTACCTAAATAAATCGTTACCAGCTCCACACTCAAGACTTGATTTATATTTTGAGGCAGGGAACTTCTGTTCCAGGCTGGGTGGCCATAGAACAATTCCATAGCCCGCAGCTCCTGCTCCTTCAGGACTCTGGAAGATGTCAGGAGGGCACTGAGCCTGAAGTCAAGAGAGCTGCCTTGGTAAAACCGAGAGGCGAATCAGACTGACAGGCAGCCAGGGAGAACCTAAATGGCCACATGCCAGATGATGGAACTTCAGCCTGCCAGCTCCAGAATAGCTCCTTCTCCCACAAGGGAAAGTTTCTGTTTTAAAAGGACAAAGCTGGGACCCCATAACAGCTCTATAAGGATTACAGCAGCTCTGTGGCAGTGGCAGTCCCTGCACTGGGAAATGAGAGAGACTCAGGATCTGTAGAGGTCTGCTCTCTAAGTAGCTCCATGGGTCCTGAGTGCTGACAGGTTTGGAATTTTTCTATCCTCCATTTTCACAGTCCCCGGGGTTAATCCCTGTGGTATAGAGCTGGCATAAGACATAACAATTGGGAAGAACAGGGCCATGCATTTGGCCCTTTGTTATTAGAGAAGAATAGTTTCATATCAATAACCTGCTTATTAAAGAGCTCTAGGAGGTAATGAAAAATACATTTTAAAGAGGGCATTTTACCCCACAGCAATGCAGTGAAGTGGAGTGGGAAGAACATTCTTATACAAAGAAATTTATTTGGCCAGTCAGCTCATTTTAATGTTCCCTTTGCAGTTTCAGCTATTTGGGTATGAATGTACCTATTAAAAATATAGTATTTTGGGGGGGGAGAAACATTCATAAACTTTTTTGTATAACCCTTTCCACTATAAAGGGCCTGATCATGCAGCTGCTAGGTCTGAAGGACGCGTATCCCTTAAACACAATAGCGCAATATATACTAGAGTACTCTACAGTAATAGCCCAAAATACTGTAGTAACACTGTTGTAAGCTACAGCCGGTGTAAATCAGCATAGCTCTTGCCTTCAGTGAAGTACATTGACTTACACCAGCTGAGAATCTGGCTCAGTGTTTTGGGCCATTACCATAGAATGCTGCAATAAGGATTCACTAAGGGACATTCCACATTCATCGCTGTGCAGGGGGCCAGCACAAGATCTGTATGCACCATTTAAGTCCTACTTAACCCCTCGTAATAAGCGGTGGTGAATAGCCTGTACACGGGCCCTCTGCACAGGGTGAATTGCTCTCTCAGAGCAGCCGAGGGTCACTTCTGCAGTGGATGTTTGACTGCTGTCCGGCCTGGGTAGGAGTTACACATGTGAAGTATTATAAAGCATTGTTGTCAGAACAGGGATCCTCAGGCAATCTGCGCTTGCCGTGATTCAGTATCCTTCTATGAGAGACAGTAAGCCAAATTCTTCCCTAGTGTATATCAGCGGGGCTCCACCAGGGATGAGTTTGACCTAGTGTATGTTATACGGAAGTGTATAATAAGGGACCCCTTGTACACTTCTCTGACGATCTACTTCAACCGTCCTCAGAACTAACTGCTAACTGTAGAGTTTCTCCCACCAGTCAGCCTCTCTTTTCCCTTTAAACTGAAGCAGACCTGGCATTGGACCACCTCTTGAAGCAGTTCTAATCCACTTCCCAGTGATTCCTCAGGTTGTACAGTAGCACAGGATTCTGTTCTGAATACACTGTTAACACTAGCAGTAATGGAGTAGTTTTAATTAAGTGGATGCAAAAAGTGGGGGAGGGGCAAGAGAGCCATTGCTAATAGTGATGATTACAGGATCATGTAAATTGACCGGGCTAAACATCCACCCGGCTTTATCAGTTCTTGTTTTTTGTATTTGCTTGTGACTGCCCAGTCCCATTTCTGGGCACTTCAGTTCCTGGGAGCATTCATGCTACCCCATTTCCAGCACCATAAAACGGAGGCCTGCTGTTTTAATCACGCCTCCCTTTCTCAATGTTGTTTGCGCCCTGGTACAACCCATCTGCCTTGAATCTACTGCTCCACTGGGGCTGCACACATCTGCCAGCCAGACTACCTTCGTACACAATTACTCAATCCACCGTACGGCTCTTTAATAGGAAACAAGTGTGACAACAGCAAGCCCTTCTAGCTCTCTCCCTCTCTCTCTCTCTCCTTAAACCACAGAGTCAAATCGCTCTAATAGAGATGAAGCTTGATAGATCCGCCCAGGTGTAGGTGAAATGGTAGAGCCTCAGGGACAATAGATGCGGTGCTCTTGTGCTGAAGTTCAGCACTGTGTCCTGAAGGGTTGTCTAGCAGCAGTGAGATGGGTTGCTCTTTGCACAGTTAAAAAGTCAATAAGCTTCTTCCAGCTTGTATGTCTGACTAATTTAGAATGCAACCTGGATCTAGGTGAGAGCTGCAGAACTGTCTCTTCTCAGTGCACGGACAGAGCACAGCACACAGTAAGTGGAAAATTTGCCTTTACTTATTTTACTTGGGAATTAATTAAGGGTGTTTACTTTGGAAGGAACCCTCTAAAGACTGGTTCAGAAATGAACCAGAATAACGCTTGCATGCATGTCCCTGGTGGGTAGTCTCCTGTTTCATTTTACACCTTGCCTTGGCATTGCCACTGCTGCTTGAATGCTCAGATTGAATTCCTTGTCTGAAGAGGACCTCTGATCTAAAATGTGGCATTACTGATAATAATATTATATCTTAGTCAATTTCTTTATCCAGTTAGGTCTCTATGATATAAATTTCATTGCTGGGCAGAATTAATGATGTATTTTTATTATAAAAATGCAAAAAATATATGCTTTAAATGGAGGAGTAAAAAACCAAGAAGCAAAATGCTTAAACCCTTTGTTGTGGCCAGCCAGGGATTTTAGAGTCTAAAAGATGAAAGTAGTTTACTTTGAAGAAAGCTTTATTATTTGTTTACTAAATTGTTCCTTTAAATATTATCGAAATAACCCCAAATGCTGAAATTAATGTCTTGGAGCAACCACACTGATAGTGAAGTTTAAAAAGCAAAAAAGAAGGTCACTTGTCTAAACTGCACGAAGCGGTATATTAAAACCAGATGTATGGAATCTCAACTTTGACTTCTTGGTCTTTCATGCTTGGTTTAAAGCAGCCTTAAAATTGCATTTACTTTGCATTTACAACTGTGGATTTGCTGTTAAACTATGCTTGAACTTGAAGTTAAGATTTGATCTTAACACACACACACATATTCTTTGAGCCTAGTACCCCAATTTTACTTTGCTATAGGGAGTCTATTTACTACTGCACCATATATCCTGAAGCACGTTAACAAGCTTGCTGTGATGGTCTTTCAGGTGGAATGTCAGCCAATGTAAAAGAATGTGTCTGTTGCATGTATAAAAACATTCTGTGTGAGAAATAAATGTGCAATTAAAAAAGGATCTACGAGAGTCTCCAATAGATGATGACACAAACAAAGAATGCAGACCAGAAAGTCTCAAGATATTCTCTGGACAGTCCAGTGAGATGACAGTTCTCATGTTAGGCTTTATTTATTTTGAAATATTACTCGGCTTAGTGTCTGTTGTCATAAGAGTGGAACAAATGACTCAGCACTATTATGCTTATACGATGCTTTTAAGTAGTCGTCCCTTTTTCAAAGAATTATTTTCTTTGCACTTGGACAGGATAGTAAGTGCTATTTCAATTAGTCATGGCTTTAGGCTGCTGGGGATTCCTTTGATAATGACAATGGCTTACTTTTGCTGCTGTGAAAAGTCCCAGGTAGTAGTAGTTACAGTGAGCTTCTGTACACAGCAATGGTGATTTGAAATTGCTGAAGTTGAGGGGATAGAGGGGTAAGACAGCATCCCACAAAAAATATTTAGACTTGCATTTGCTGGCATCAAATAGCGGTCAATGCCTACCCCCTACAGGGAGAGAATCTAATTTCACTAGTGCATGAACACTATATAGTAGTACGATTCACAAATATGAACAGAGCAGATAGTCTCTAGCTCCAGCAAATGCCCCTTAATGAGGAGGTCAGACTATGATTAATAGGAAGTGAGTTTCAAAGGGCTGGATCTCTCTTCAGCACCACTGATAAATAGCAACGGGCATTTTATTTCCCTTCAGTGTAACTCAATGGGCAGGGACTCTTTGAATTTAAAAATTTGAGTCAGCAATGCACTTTTTATATATGTAAAACTTAGATTTTAATTAATTACACAAACTTGCAGATTTACTATGTGCCAAATGCACAACCACGTAGGGCCCAAATCTGCCACACTTCTGCACACAGAGTATTATCCTATTACAAAAGTAGTCACATTGATTTCTGTCGCAATACTCTCTGAGTAAGGTACTATTCAATATGAGTAAGCCTGGTAAAACTGGGCCCTTAATTATTAAGGACCAGATTCTGCCCACAGATTTTGATCCAAGAGTATTCACATTGAAATCAGTGAACGTGAATCTTCCACCTTTACACACGTCAAGTTCGGTGGAACTCCTTGTCGAATAAGGGCACTACTCAGTGGGAATAAAGGCGCAAGAGTCTGGCCCAATGACACTGCTTGTGGATAAGATTCTATTCAGCATTAGTAAAACTGACAGAATTTGGCCATAAAGATCCCCTTGAGGCCAGATTTTTGCCCCTTCCTTATGATGAGTTGAAATGACTTAACTATTCATTTCAGTGAGATTACTTACAGAATAAGGTATTACTTATTGTGGGCAATAGTGCAAATTCTGACCATTGGTGTTTTATGTATGTATATATTCTTTTAGAAAAGTGAAATTCTGAACCATCAGATTTTTGAATAAAAATATTCTAATTGGTACGTAGTCAAAACAGACTTTTTTTTAATGAAACCCCCTCCCCCCAAAAATGTCTAAATCAGGCATTTTCCACAGAAATTTATCCTTTGCTGCTTTAACATAAACTTATCTGCTTCCCAGGAAACATAATGGCCAAATTCTGCCCTCAGTTATAACTCATACTCTCCATTGGCTATCTATGCCTTGACTTCAATGGTTTTGCATAGTAACTGAGGACAGAATTTGGCAATAGTTGTTTGGAAACCATACCCAAAACTAACTGTATTCTCTAATGTGGAGCCCCAATACAACAAACCCTGGTCCTGGTAAATAAAGAGCCAGAAACCAGTTGTAACTTTGAGATTCATTTGCCAACTTTGGTAATAGCAATAGGATACATATTATGGTGTTGGGTAAATAGACTTTTTTCATGACAGCTTTCCCAAAAATGAGGGATCTCGCTCCTTCCCTGATTTGTTCAACAGTTTAGTCTATTGAAGTATCTTTTATGAACTTTGGATTTGTGGAGTTTTACTGCTTAACCATCACTACTTCTCTCTCTCTCTCTCTCACACACACACACACACATCACAAACTCACGCACAGATGTTCATAACCAGCTCTGTCTTGTTTCTCCTGTTTTGAAAAAGAAGTTTTGGTTCCTTCAAATGCTCATCTACTGGCATCAATTTCAGTGCCCTAATTGCTTTGAGAACTGAAAATGTGGCACTCCATCAATAGGCATAAGGCCAAAATCTGCCCTCACTTATACCTCTTTTGACATCAAGGGGGTTTCAAGGGTGTGATTCAGGATACATTTTAGGTCGTACATTCATTGTCATTACCCTGGCTAAAAAACGGACCATGTAACAATGTGTACAGTGACACTATTTGTTGTTGTTGTTATAATTATTTAGTAAACATTTGACAATGTGCTTTTGAAGTCAACTTATCAGCTACTGGAATTAATAACCCTTATACTTTTAAACTCTTCTGGGTGTATGAAAAAAATAAAATTAAAAAGATACTGTAATAAAAATTTTCAAACTCGAGTACTTCAAATAAGACACCTAACTCCATGGTTAGTCATCTAAGCAAATGATTTGATTTTTTGTCAGAGAATAGTGGTTTATTTTTATTGCCACTTTTGTTTAGGTGTGTAAATATCGATTTACACATCCTCAGCAAGTTTGCAGATGATACTAAACTGGGAGAAGTGGTAGATATGCTGGAGGGTAGGGATAGGATACAGAGAGACCTAGACAAATTAGAGGATTTGGCCAAAAGAAATCTGATGAGGTTTAACAAGGACAAGTGCAGAGTCCTCCACTTAGGACTGAAGAATCTCATGCACTGCTACAGATTAGGGACCAAATGGCTAGGTAGCAGTTCTGCAGAAAAGGACCTAGGGGTTACTGTGGACGAGAAGCTGGATATGAGTCAACAGTGTGCCCTTGTTGTCAAGAAGGTTAATGGCATTTTGGGCTGTATAAGTAGGGGCATTGCCAGCAGATCGAGGGACATGATCATTCCCCTCTATTTAACATTGGTGAAGCCTCATCTGGAGTACTGTGTCCAGTTTTGGGCCCCACACTACAAGAAGGATGTGGAAAAATTGGAAAGAGTCCAACGGAGGGCAACAAAAATGATTAGGGGACTGGAACACATGACTTATGAGGAGAGGCTGAGGGAACTGGGATTGTTTAGTCTGCAGAAGAGAAGAATGAGGGGGGATTTGATAGTTGCTTTCAACTACCTGAAAGGGGGTTCCAAAGAGGATGGATCTAAACTGTTCTCAGCAGATTACAGAACAAGGAGTAATTGTCTCAAGTTGCAGTGGGGGAGGTTTAGGTTGGATATTAGGAAAAACTTTTTCACTAGCAGGGTGGTGAAGCACTGGAATGTGTTACCTAGGGAGGTGGTGGAATCTCCTTCCTTAGGAGGTTTTTAAGGTTAGGCTTGACAAAGCCCTGGCTGGGATGATTTAGTTGGGGATTGGTCCTGCTTTGACCAGGGGGTTGGACTTGATGACCTCCTGAGGTCCCTTCCAACCCTGATATTCTATGATTCTATGATTTAGGTATCCAAGTTAAGGCACTCACATTTGACAGTTTTGGCCTATGTTAATTCCAGGAAGACTGTTTCTCAGCCCCAGAGCAAGTTGGCTATGACTTTCCTGTTTAGTATCTGTAGAGGAAGTATGAATCATAGAATATAAGGCCAGAGGTAACCATTGTGATCATATAGTCTCACCTTCTGTATAACAAAGGCCATGGGACTTCCCTAATTTAATTCTTATTTGAACTAGAGTTCATCTTTTAGAGAAACATCCAATGTTGATTAAAAAATTTCCAGTGGTGTAGAATTCACCCAGCCTTTGGTAAGATATGTAATACATAGATAAATTGGCAATAACCATACAAGAGGAAGTAAAAATTGCTAGCAAATCTTTACTCATTGTAAAATTAAAAACTTGTTAGTTCATTATGAAATCACTGGGTCAAATTCTCTGCTAACTTAATTCTATTATGCTGGCAGAGAATTTTATATGATGAATCTTTTCTTACACAAGGCTTTAATTTTATTCCTATTTGCTGGTCTTGTGGAAGCTGTAGATATTGCATGACCTGATGAATCATATATTATCTCC